AACCTCCTGTTCTATTTCGTACACGTCGAACCCCCTGTTCTATTTCGAACACCTCGCGAACCCCCTGTTCTATTTCGAACACCTCCGTCGAAGTAGTGTTAGAAATGGGACAGGGGTCGGGGTTTATATTGTGTTCGACTGTGAACGGTCTATAGATATTATAGATTTCAATTTGAAACAGTCCAAGTCCACCCAAGTCGAATGCCCAACCATTACGCCACAAGAATTCTATCTTCCTTCTGTCCTCCAGAACTTCAAGCTGACTAGCGTGTGCGCCTGCCCTGGTGCCTGCCTGGGCCCTCCGGTCACCTGCACCATGAAAGACGCCTGCAGCTGCGAGATGAGTGACGGGACAGGTGACGTCAACCTGCACCCGCTGGACAACCCCTGGGCGCCGCTCAGGTCCAGTCACCTGGGGCCGGAGCTTGGCCGCAACTTCACCTACTACTACAACCCCTGCTCCGGAATATACTTCGGTAAGGGCAAATCACTACGTACTCAGGGCAGGAAGCATTGTTTTTGAGTGGCTGAGCTGCAGGCTTTTGTATCTGTGTACACCAAACATTTGGCTGCAAGCTGTGGAGAAGGTGCAAGTTGACAGTAAACCTAGATCTTGACTCCGGACAGTACGTGGGTTGGCTTGACAGACAGAATGACAGGAGTTCAAACCTGTCTAGTAGCGAAGGGGATTCAGGAAGCCGCATACTTCCCTGAAGTAAAAGGTATAAGCAACCTGAAGCCCTGATTTTGACCCCGACGTGTTCGAAATAGAACACGTCGGGGTTCGACGTGTTCGATCAGGATCGGTCGATACACCAATTTCACACTTCCCATAATGCCTAGTAACGGTCACGGATATGACGTAAGACCATCCCCCTCCCCCTTCCTCGATGTAATATTTCCAACAAATTCTATCGACAAACTAGTTAACTATTGTTTTGAATTATTTATCTAGTATAAAGCACATGCCATAAATGCATTTTTGTTGGAATTAGAGAAAATGACGTACTTCTATCGTTCTACCTTCTACCGAAGACTCTCCTACTCGGTAATGCATGCGACCGTGCGAGTGCTTCAAGTAATGTCTATCTTTTTTTTTTAAATTTAATTATCTGTTTTGCCTCTTTGTAGCCAACACGCCTTGCAGGAATGTATCCAGCTGCCAGGTTGACACAGAAGCTTCGCCCCAGATATTCTACCCCCTGGGTCACGTGGCCCCGGCGTCTGAACTTGCGAAGGACGAGCTAGGGAACTTGGTCCTCAAGTACACAGGTCAGTGGGTAGGGCAAGTCTCGCTGCAATTTCAAACTGTCGCTACAGTGTGTAGGACTTTCGTACAGATTGTACATCGCATATATTGTACAATCAAATATTGAAGTTTTGTTTAACCTATTCAGACGACGAGGGAATTTCAGGTCCGCACCATCTTTCATGTTATATACTGTCTGGGCGGCTTAAAACGAAATCTGGCTTAGAATGTAACGGGTAACAGTGCCCTAATACTGATAGTCAGTTAAGTTCATCATTCTTTCAACAGGTTTCTGACAGGCATATTTTACAAACTTTTGTAATTTCAGTTTGAACAATGTTGTTTCCATGATTTCTTGTCAAGTCAAACTTTTCTTCCATAAACTGCATCCTGTGTAATTAGATGTAGTTTTTATGATTCAAAAGTCAGACATTTTGCTAATCTGATGACTTCAGTAGTCAAAAATCTAAATAGCCGGAAAGAAATAAAGCACAGATTTATCAAATTTAATAATTTTTCTGTGCATACTGCATGCTATAGGTGGAGCCGATGGCCGCCAGTTTGACGTTACCCTGATCTGCGATGAACAGCAGCATGTCCCAGAATTCACCGCGCTGGGGGAGGTCACGGAGCACTACTACAAGATGACCCTGAGGACCCATTGCGCATGCCCAGGACTGTGCAAAGATGACCCAATAGCACGCAAAACTCGCTATCTGAAATGGAAGTCCTTCCACCCTGACTAAAATGTGTTTTCTTTTCCAATGCTACAAAAAAAGGAAGATCGAGCTTCACAGACGTCAAAAAAGTATGAAATATTTGCTGCTGTTAGAGAGAGCCGCGCAAAGCATTTCGATAACGTTTTCTCTGGTTACTATTCAGCCACATGTTTTTACTACAAAGCTTGTGCACTTCTATTAAGATACCATGTTTGATGTTGTCTGCCAATATAAGGTACCAAGATGTGCGACTTTTTGATAAGCGACATGATTTTGCAGTCCAGAGAGAGAGAGTTAGATGCGGATCGACTCTGACACTTTTTCTGGCATGAAATTGGCGACATGTATTGTCATATAGACCAGGTGTTTTTTACCTTCGCCAAGAAGGTTATGTTTTCAGTAGCGTTTGTCTGTGTGTGTGTGTGTGTGTGTGTGTGTGTGTGTGTGTGTGTGTGTGTGTGTAATTTAGCAAGATAACTCGAGAAGCAGTGGATGGATTGGAATGAAACTTGGTAGGTGGGTAGGTCTTCATGAGACCTAGAAATGATTAGATTTTGGGCCCCCTGGCGACTTTCCTAGGTAGTGCAGCAGAACTTCCGGTTTTGATATCTCATGTTCTGGACATGCTAGGGTCACGAATTTTGGTTGGTAGATAGCTTTGGGGGTAGAGAAGAAGTGACATGAGATTGGGTCCCCTAGCGCCTTGTTCTGGAACTGCAGGAGCATTTGTTGAAAAAAATTTGAAGGACGATAACTCAAGATCCGGTTGACGTATTGTCATGATTTTTGGCATGTATGTAGTTGAAGTGATGCTTGACATAATCAGATGGCAATTATGCAAATCAGGAGCTAATTTGCATAATTAATGACGAAATTCTATAAATCTGCTTTGTTCGATAATAGAACTATTAAACACTTGTGACATCTACTTGAGAACGAGAAAAACATCTGAGGATATAGATTATGTAAATGAGAACCTAATTTGCATAATTAATGGCAAATTCTTATAATTCCATAGTTGTCACTGCTGCACCCAATTTCATACTTGCCACATTTGGAAGTTAAGTAAAGTGAAGTGAAGATCAATAAACATAATTTATTCAAATCATGACCTCATTTGCATAATTTATGAGGAAGTGCTATAATAGCCTTTTTGTTATGATAAGGCTGTCATTGGATGGAGAATATGATCAACTGATATAATCCATGCAAATGAGGCTCTTATTTACAAAATAAATGATTAAAATTGTATAATTTGTCACCCGCAAGAGTTAACACCATTTGGCGAAGGTATGAGATCGTGGAACTCTTGTTAATGAAAACGATTGTTCATGGCTTTTGACTGAGGATCATGTACAACTCAGTATCAAGACCAACGAAGATGACCATTTTAAAGCTGTAAGGCAGTTAATCATATGTGCAATATTGTATTTGGTTGTGAATACTTTTATCCATTATGAATTGAATGTAGTGCAGTGTTTCTCACATACAAAAAAGTTCAGTAAATACATCTTGAAGCTTGCAAAAACACCCGGCGGCTTTCTCACTTGATTTTCAACCTTTATATTTTGATATACAGGAGGGTTTTTTATTTTTGTGACAGTAACGTCAGATATTCATATCATCTCCATAGGAGAACACGTATCTACCCTTAAAACATGCCTAAAATGTGCACATGTCGAAACGCAGTGATCCCGTTACAATAAACAACCGTTGCAACAGAATAGCAAAGTTCTTTCATCACAACCATTTATTTTTCACGAGCCGACGTTTCGATGACTGATCTAGCGTCAGTGCACATTAAACCAGTCAGAATTGCCCTGATGAAGATGACAGACGGTCATCGAAACGTCGGCTCTTGAAAAATAAATGGTTGTGATGAAAGAACTTTGCTATTCAGCCGTTTACCAACCTGATGAAATTATTTGCGGAACCGTTGCAACATTTCATCTATCAGACGTAATGTATCAGAAAGTCCATCTGACCCTAAATAGGGCACTAGAAGCAATAACATGTTTGTATGAGACATCACATGCTTTCATGTGACGGCACAAAGTTCGATGTCCTAATAGGGCATTTTTCAACTGTTACATGGTTATTGCCGTCCATTGCAACACACATAACGTTACTGTGATTTTTAGTTAGTGTATATCAAAGACTCTTCCTATTGCTGCCGGGAATCTCGCCAATTCAGATACCATGTGGCGGGTTACAGTTTTTCTCCTCCTGGTCTGAAGCGTCAGAGCGGCTTTGTCGCAACTAGAATGTAAACATGTTTAAAGTTAAAACTTTTGATCCAACACAGAAAGATCTCTCACCTAGAGCTTTCGACCAGTTACTCTGGTATCTGGTAGACGATGTCGGCCCCCGTCGCGGTTCAATGAAGGGTGATGGGCCCTGATGTATATGGCTCCCTTCACCCCTCCCAAGAAATAGTCTTCTTCAGTGTCTAAAATCCCCACAGCGCCGATCGCGAGTGAAACAAAAATAGAATGTAAACAGGTAAGAAGCAGTATTTCATCGTATATTTTAATGTTAGCGTTCCCAAAAAACTCCTAATCAACAAGGTGTGTACCTCCTGGTAAACCTGAATAAAGAAATGAAATGAAAAATGAAATATCATCTCCGAAATATCTACTCCTGTCCACTCTTGACATATGGAAAATGTATACAAAAACAATATTATCCCGCTACAACAAACAACCGTTGCGATCATTGATCTACTGTGTCGGAAAGTCAATCTGACCCTAAATAGGTCACTAACAGAAATATTGTTCCAACTAGAAAGGTAATATTTGCAAAGCAAATGCATAATGTTTACCTTCACATATGGTCTGCTCTGTTAATTCTTACTCAAATACATTCATACATATATGGTCAGACATGAGTGCAAATAAAATTGCAACATAATGTCATGGTAATGTAACCCAACACCAGTTACCATGGTGAGAGACGTTGACCAGGTCCGAAGTCAGTGTTTGGAACGGAAGAAGAGGAAACGTAGCAAAACAATATGTTTTCCTTCGGTAAACATAATAACATGTTTGCGTGAGACGTCACATGCTTTCATGTGACGGCTCAAAGTTCGATGTCCTCAATAGTGATGACTCAACTCATTCATAATTATTACCATTCGTTGCGACACACCAACTGTGCTATTTAGTCAGTGTAGACCGACGATTCTTGTTTTGCTGCTGTGAATCTTTCGAACTGAGATGCCATGTGGAGGGTTACGGTTTCTGTACTTCTGGCCTGGAGCGTCCAGTCGGCTCTGTCGCAGCTTGAATGTAAACAGGTAGGGAGCAGACATAGGTGCATACACGTACAGACAGTTGAAACCTTGAGTGTTTATCACTCCGAAAAAGACACTTTTGTACAAATCAATCTCATTCTGGAACAGTCTACCACAACATGTAAAATCCGCACCCAAAAGCAACTTCCGGCGGGAGCTACTTGTATGTGTAAACTTAATTGTTTATAGTTATTTTGGACTTTGAAATGGTTTTATTGTCTGGATTGTCCACTATACAATGATAAACGTACAAAGCTGTTCAACCTTTTTTCCTGCTTGCTCAACGAAATTTGTTACATTTAATGCTATAGATAAATTTAATTTCATTCTAGAAGGTGATAACTTTTACCGTGTACACATAGGTAAATATATCAAAGAATGTTTAGACCTTAGAACAAGTAGTATAAGTTGATTCATCTATAGTCCTGTACGTAGGCCAATTCTGTTGTACCCACTCGTCTGTCTGTGTGTCAAGTTAAAGACCTTACGAAAGTCGCTGTACTTTTGTTGAGTCAATAACGTTCTCTAAACTACTAAAGTTTTCTGTGATGTCGCACTATCAGGTGGATGGTTGTTCCTGTGAAATGAGCGACGGCTCGGGGAGAATTGAGCTGCGCTCTCTGGCTCATCCCAACAGCGTGTACAGGATCGACCATTCCATGTTCACCTTCCTATACTCACCGTGTGAAGGTAAAGAAAATCAAACTATAACGGTAACCTTTGGGCTGATGTTTACCCCGACATGGTCTAGCCTAACAAAGTACTGCTCTGTTTATTGTTACTCAAATTGGTTCATATACTGTACCGGTTAATATATGGTGAGCAGCTACTCTAGCTCTGTCCTGCTACATAATGTAACCCAACACTGCAGACCGTATGCTGCAATGCTAGTTACTATGGTGACAGACTTCTAGCCTAGGTCATTGACTTTACCGGTATTTGTTTGGAGAAGAAGAAGAGGAAGATGAATAAACGGAGCAAAAACTATATGTTTTCCTTCTGCGAAGGTTATCATAGTAAAACATCAAACACCAAACGTCATCTAGATTGATGATGCAAGAAGTGTTATCTATCCCCCAGCTATGCAGCACGCTCACGTGAGCGAGTGCAGCGAAGAGGCCTCAGATCAAAAACAATATGTGTGTGAAATAGTTTCATCAGGTTGGTAAGTCACTGAGTAAAGAGACTCTTTCTACATAACCACGTTTTTTTATTCATCCGACGTTTCGGTGACCGTCTGTCACCTTCCCCAGGGCAATTCTGACAGGTTCACATATGAACCAGTGAACCAGTCAGAGTTCTCTATCCCCACAGCTATGCAGCAGGCTAACGTGAGCGAGTGTAGCGAGGCGACCTCTGTCTGCCAGCAGTGGAGGGACAACACTGGACAGGGGTACAACTATGGCAGCACCGACTCCGCAAGGTTTTCTGTCGACCCGGAAACGAGCCAGGTCACAATCAGCTACAGCCACGTTACGGACAACGCTACAAGGTAAGAAATGAAACGTCATTGTCATGAAAACTAGGCTGTACTTATCCTGAACAGAGACGGGGGGCGACACAAGTTATCTGGCACGTAGGACCTTCTACTACGGCCACGTGTCTCTGACGTCACGTTCCAAGAGTAGACGGGTTCAACCATAATTTGAAGTTAGTCCAAATTCATTCATGTCCTGGAAGGAAAGCTTAGTCTTTATTTATTTAAAGTGAGAGTGGACTATGCAATCTTGAAGAAAAAGTGTAGAACGTTTGTTTGGGCTTGAGTACCTAAATGTTTCTAATTTCTCTGAAGACGGAAATATAACAGAACACGTCTATTCCCAGGGTCTCGAACGTGAATCTCGTCTGTGACCCAGGTCAGAGGGACAAGGCCTTGTTCGAGTTCGAGTGGGCCGAGCCCCTCCTGCTGGTAAGTTGTTTTGATCATTATTTACGGGTACAGAAGCATCGTTTTGTGTGGCTGAGTTGTGTGGCTGTGTGCCTCCCTCCCTCTCTTCCCTTTAAGGCCACTCTCTAGATCCAACCACCTCTTTTTTTTCTTCACGTGTTTCAGACTAGCGTGTGCGCCTGTCCAGGTGCCTGGCTGGGCCCTCCGGTCACCTGCATCATGAAAGACACCTGCAGCTGTTCTATTTCGAACACGTCGAACTTCCTGTTTTATTTCGAACACCTCCGTCGAAGTAGGGTTAGACATAGAACAGGGGGCGGGGCTTATGGTGTTCGACTGGGAACGTTCAATAGATGCAGTTCCGGGCCGAATGCCCAACCATTACGCCACAAAAATCTTTTTTTTCTTTGCATCCTGCAGAACTTTAAGCTGACTAGCGTGTGCGCCTGCCCAGGTGCCTGCCTGGCACCTGCTGTCACCTGCACCATGAAGGACGCCTGCAGCTGTGAGATGAGTGACGGGACAGGTGACGTCAACCTGCACCCGCTGGACAACCCCTGGGCGCCGCTCAGGTCCACCCACTTCCAGCCTGACCTCGGCCGGAACTTCACCTACTACTACAACCCCTGCTCCGGGTTCTCATTTAGTAAGCTGTAATGGGTTATCGTTGTAATTCCACAGTACCGTGGCCGACAGGTACATACCTGCGTCGTCTACACAGAAACGACGAAGCAGGTGTTTGCGCAGACGGCGCAGATCTGTACTTGTCGGCCACGGTACCACAGAGATACAGAAACTTCGCTCAGGTGAAAAATGAGTATTGTGCTGTCCCTGTGTTGGTGGCGGAATTAATATAAGTTGAAAAAAAACTTGAGTGTGCCGTCACCACGTCTTGTGATTACATGTTGGAATTTAAAAATGTCTTTTCCAGCCAACACGGTGTGCACCAACGTATCGGCCTGTCAGGTCGACACGGCGGCTGAGCTCTACTACGCCATCGGTGACGTCGCACCGCAGGCAAACGCTGAGGTCAGCCAAGAGGACGGAAGTGTCGTCTTTCACTACGTATACTCAGGTACAGTACATGATACAAACTTGCCGAACTTTAAGCTTTTCCAAGCTGTTGCGAAGATATTGGCATTTTCATGTGTCTGGAGAAGAAGATAAACTGAGCAAAAACAATATTTTTCCTTCTAATTCTGCGTAGGTAACATAAAAACAAGAGTTTTTGATACTATTTTTTTTAATTTTCGACGTTACTGAGACTCAGACAAAGTAAGGATGAGAGAAAAGGCACGTTTAAAGTGTTGGTTTTGCTCTCTTAACTGTGAAATCCTTGGAATTCGTTAGCCACAATTAGAAAAATGTCGTGATTGCTACAACAGTATGTCAAAATAGGTTCAAATATCACCAGATGTTCTTAGAAGTTGTTTTTTTTTCTTTCTTTTTTACACCGTAGAAAAAGACACTGGCCGCCGCTTTGACCTTCGTCTGATGTGCGACCCTGACCAGCATGTCCCAGAATTCACCGCGCTGGGGGAGCCGTCCGAAAACTTCTACATCATAAGCCTGAAGACACGTTGCGCATGCCCAGGACTGTGCAAAGATGACCCAATGGCTCGCAAAGCTCGATACTTGAAGTGGAAGGCCGCCCACCCAGATGAACGTATTTCTCTGTGAGGCACAGTTTGCCATTTTGTCGTTGGCATTTGGCATGTGGCATGACAAAATAACTCTACTCTACATGCACATAGAATTGTTACTCAAACAACTCGATACATTTTTCAGACGTTTCATGTCACAAGAAACAGTCACATTAAATCAGACAACCTTACAATAAAGGGTTGAAACTTGAAAGTAACATCTTGAAACGATAGATCACAGGCGCTAGGCCACCGAGTTTTTGTTGAGATCTAACAATACATGTAACGTTACATTGTTTTGTAAACCATTAAATAAAATCCTTATTATGGTTTCGCGCATGCTAGAACATACACTGTGTCTGCTCATTCAGCCCGTTGCCATCACAATACAGTGGTCCGTTGAAATATTCCCAAAAATCATACAGTCACATAACACATAACACCGTGAACACGGCCCGTTGAAAGGTTCCCTAGAATCATACGTACACTGAACACGGTCACAAACTGATGAGGATTCCAAAGAACCATACGAACAGATACCGAAGTCTCCCGAAGATTGCCGAGAGCCGAACAGCGACTTCCGAACGCTTCATCTTGGTTAGGTACTTAGTACTAGTATACACTAGGTGCGAAATGCCATTTCAAAAGACCCTATTTTCTGCGAAATGCCATAAGGAAAATAAAAGTCTTGATACTATCTATAATCAAGGGGTAACTAAGTAGCCATGTAAACTTTTTGGGGGTATGATACCATATTTTAAAGAAGATATGAAGCATTTTGTAAAGTCCAATTTCCGGCGAACTGCGTTACCAGGTCGCTGCTGTACAGGTCAATGACATCATCGCTAGCCAATCAGACGCACGATAGGCCCACATTTCCCGCGCGGTTCTAAAATGTAAACGCACACAACTGGCTACATCACCCGACAAGAGTCTTGACATGCTATGTGTAAATGTACTCTAAACACGTCCACAAACCCCACCTACATGTTTTCAGTTCTACATATGTTTCCCAGGCATGAGATTTGGAAAGTGTAGTTGTGCCCAATATCTCTAAAATGTACTATATCGTTGTTTTCTGAGTCTGGGGAGGCAGGGACTTCACACCGAACGTGATTCTAAGTCACATTTTTGCTGCCACCCCAGTTGGTAACGCAGTTCACGGGTAGGTGTTTCCTACCCTGTCATCTTTTTGAAGTTACCATCGCTAGCGCTAGCCCCGGCTTGGGGTTCTATCGAGTCGAGCAGCGGTTTTGCGAACGCATTCGAGTTTGCGAAACCTGTTCTATTCCCGTCGGCCTTTGCGCTACCCTGAACGCCAATGTAACAGCTGAGTAATGAGTGTGCTTTTTATTGTATGATTCAGCGGACCAAGTACCCAGCAGTATGTATTATATATGATTGTATGGTTCATTGTACAGAGAATTCTAGGGAAATTTTTCAACGGACCGTGTTCACGGTGTTATGTGATGAGTGTATGATTCTCGGGAATCTTTCGACGGACAGTGTTCACGGTGTTATGTGATGAGTGTATGATTCTCGGGAATCTTTCGACGGACAGTGTTCACGGTGTTATGTGATGAGTGTATGATTCTCGGGAATCTTTCGACGGACAGTGTTCACGGTGTTATGTGTTGAGTTCATGACTCTTCGGATCCTTTCAACGGACCGTGTTCATAGTGTTTGTGTTCAGTGTATGATTATCGGGAATCTTAAGCTTGTACGGAGTGCACAGTATACGAGTGTTCATAAAACAAAGCAACAGCGATCTCAACAAAAACTCGGTGGCCTATCGCCCATGGATAGATAGAAATGATATCGTTAGTTTAATATTGTTCTAGATATGAAAACAAACTTCTTCCTGCATTCTATGTTCTATCTTGTAGAATTATTCAATAATTTCACTGCTGTTTCTTCTTGTGTGTCTGTTTATTTATCTGTTTATTTGTTTGTTTGTTTTTGTTTGTTTGCTTATTCAAGTCATTTATTTATCTAAGTTTGCAAGAGGACTTCTATCTTTGGTTTGCCGTGAGCTGGCACGGGACGGCAACTCGATTGACTGTGCCAAGCTAGCCTCTACCAGGCTTCGGGAGGCGGCTGGAAAGAGTAGAAATCGGCCAAATAGAGAGCGATAACATGCCAAACTGTACTGTCCAGCGGACCTAAACTCCCTTGGCATGTTATCTCTCTCTATTTGGCCGATTTCTACTCTTTCCAGCCGTCTCCCGAAGCCTGGTAGAGGCTAGTGTCAAGCTACTTCAGACCGTTGGCCGCGCACTCGTCCGCGCATGCGCATTTCGTGGTCAGCATGAAGTCGTAGCTGTTCTGCAGCCGGGTTCCGGTGAAGGCGAACTTCGGCTCGGCAGCCGTGACGTCACACACCAGGGTCAGGTTAAAGGACATGCCGCTCTGCTGGTCTGCAGACGTGAAGAGAAAGTGTTGTGAAAAACCGTTACGTGTAGTATACAGTAGAGTGGAATTAATACTCAACATAACTCACATCTATCAAACCACAGTAATATATCACAGTCGTTACTGAGACATCTGGAGCCGCCATGCTACGGTTTAGAACTTTTATTCAGCCTTCACACGACCGGTTTCAGATGTCTTACTGAGAGACGACTGCGTGAGCGAGATGTTGGTCAGCTTGAGGAATGAATCCACTCTACCACTCTACAATACGCTGAAAAACGTTTCTTACATACATATGTCCGGACATATTCAATATATTGCAGTTACGGGTGTGAGTGGTGAGTGAGTGAGTGAGTGAGTGAGTGAGTGAGTGAGTGAGTGAGTGAGTGAGTGAGTGAGTGAGTGAGTGAGTGAGTGAGTGAGTGAGTGAGTGAGTGAGTGAGTGAGTGAGTGAGTGAGTGAGTGAGTGAGTGATACCTGAGTAGGCGATGATGAGCCTTTCCTGATCCGGTGTGAAGGCGTCCGGCATGACGGCTCCCAGTGCCGAGTAGCGCCGCGCCACGTGGTTATACGCGCAGCCCGACACGTCTGCACACCCCTCCAGACCTGAGAGAGACATGTAAGATGCTGTGTCCAGAGATGAGCATCCAGGCTATCTACTATATGTTGAGGACAAACCTTGACTGTTCCGTCAACTGTAAGACTCCATCAAATCCGGAGGGACTATGTAAGCATTGCACAACGCTTCCGTAAGAAAAATAAATGTAGTGCGACTTCGAATATATCATATTGGTTTCTTTCGCCAAATATACATAGTAATAATCCCTAGATGTCTGCAAGTCTTACAATACAAATTGGCCAAATAGAGAGAGATAGAATACACCCATCCAAGGTAAAAAAATGTACTCTAGCGGAACAACTCCCTCGGCATGTTATCTCTTTAATTGACCAGTTTCTATTCTATCCGGCCACCTCCTGAAGCCGGCTAGGTACTACGTACCGACGGTGAGGCCGCTGCAGGGGTTGTAGTAGAACGTGTACTCCACGCCTGGCGCTGGACTTTCCTAGATGTTACACTCCAACAGTGTTACAATACATTGTACCTGTTGGCCACGGTAGTACCTACAGTACATTGTACCTGTCGGCCACCGTACTACCATACGTACCGACAGTGAGGCCGCTGCAAGGGTTGTAGTAGAACGTGTACTCCACTTCTGACGCTGGACTTTCTTAGATGTTGTATCACTAAGTGTTACTCTACATTGTACCTGTAGGCCACGGTAGTGTTACAATACAAGTACCCGTCGGCCACGGTAGTACTTACAATACATTTCACCTGTCGGCCATAGTACTAATGTTACAATACGTACCGACGGTGAGACCGCTGCAGGGGTTGTAGTAGAACGTGTACTCCACGCCCGACGACGTGGCCACGTCCTTGAAGGCCGCCGCGGGGTTATCCAGCGCGTGCAGACTCACCGTGCCCGAACCGTCACTCATCTTACAGCTACAGCTGTCGCCCGCTGCGCATGTGCGGGCCGGGAACATGCAGGACCCCGCGCATGCGCACACGCTCTTCATGGTGACGGACTGGCGAAGGAAAAGCGTTGGTCATTAGTAGTAGCAATTTTTGTACACATTACCTAGGGATACTACATCTTCCAATTATAGCCACCTTACTAGTATTGTTGCCTGATATGCCAAAAAGTAGCAATCTATCTTCGAACAACACTGGATAGAATAGACCAATGTGGGTCGAACACATCGAACTACCGACGTGTTCTACTATTTAACACATCCATCAAAATCAGCCCGGAAGGACGCGCAAAGTCGGACAAACAAATAGCGGTATTAACAACTACAGGGATCAAACTACTCATCTTTGATTAACTTGAAAGTGCATCCGATGTCACAAATTCAGTTTTACCGGTAAAACAAGAAGTCTTTATCCATCAAGCAGACATCAGCTCATTTTGCTGCTTTCAGATTTCCCTCCCTGAATTTGACTGAGGTGTTTGAAATAGAACAGAGGGGTTCGACGCTTTCGCATAGGTGAACATTTTACAAGAAATATGGTGTGGGGGTAGCCTGGGTGCCATCCCCAGTAGTATTCGCCCGCTCTATAATGTCGCTGGCTATCACACCAGTTGTAAGCTAAAGCGGGCGAATACTACTGTGGATGGCACCCAGGCAAGTGGGGGTGCTTTTTGCAATACCATCAGGTCTCACCAGGTGGCCGTCAGTCAAGGACGGACTTTCGAACACCGGTTCCACGCGGGCAGAGGGGTCACAGGTCAAGGTCACCTTCGTCGTCCTGTTCAGAGAAAAAAAAAACAGAAAAAAATCTTGTTTCTGGGATTTTTCAAACGCTTCAAGTACGAAATGGTGACAAATGAGCTAATAAATGGCTGCAAATGTCAATATCTGACACATCCACATCCAGAATAAGGCGGCACAACACAGTATTAGCCCTATGGGGATTTCTATAGTTAAGGACTCCAAAGTGACTCACTTCGACTCACGGAAAATCATACTAGGGTGCACAAGCAAGGTTCAGAATTTTGATATGTTTAATTTCAGGGTATAGTGTACAAAATATGTGAAAATGAGCTTAAATTTGCCGGCTAGTTCTCTTCTCGCGCCCTCTTTTATTAGCGCCACTGCGGAGGTCATGGAACTGCAGCCGACGCACAGTACTAGGCGGGACAAGTATCCAAGCGCAAATCTACTCCGACTAAACACGCACCATAATCCAACTTTTACAGTCTCAAAACTGACGTATTCCTCTAACATTTACCACAGGTTCTGTCTCGATGCCATGCACAAAACAATCTCTGCACCCTTCCCTAGTATTGTGTAGCACTACTTTGTGCCCGGACTACTTTTGACTACGGGGTTCGCCCATGAATACTGTGTTGTGCGGCCTTAATCGTCTCTTTTGTGTTAGGCCACACCAAATTAATTTTATGGATGACATCCGCGCGCGCATTGATTTTCGCCTGTTCTACAAAAAAAAAAATGATCACGTCCTCGGAGGCTCTAGGCCTGGGTAGTCAGTCCACGGCTTGTTGTATACGTCGCTATGTACTGCCGCAAATTCACAATACCAGCTTTGTATTCCTGTGGTTTAGCAGCATTTTTATTTTTGGCCGGATTTTTTTTATTCGCCTGCGCACACTAGTTTGGTGGTCGTCAGAGGATGGCATCCATAAAATCAAGTCGTTGTGGCCTGTTCCACATGACCAAACAAATAACCTATAGAAACGGCACTCCTTTGCGCACTACAATAGCTAAGCGTAACACCTTAACACACCTTACATAAATTATACATACTTAGGGTCTTATCTGATAAGTTTGTCACAACAGAACAACAGAAAGCCACAGGATATTAAGCTTAGGCGTCCCCGTATTGGTGGGATCTTCGCTTGACCAAGTTTACTATAGATAACGTGTTGAAATGACACGCCTAGTTTGACTTTTAGCAGGCAGCTTTTTCAACATACAGACAACGGACCACAAATTCTCTCCATGTGTTTAATGTCGAATGTTGAATGTCCGCTGTGCAAAGTGTACATGAATTATGACCGTACATGCAGGGAAACATTAAACACATAACATTGTGATACAATTCACAGACACATAATATTGCACAGTTTCCTTAAATGTTAATGTTGCACAGTTTTCCTTAAAATCATTACAAGAATTTCTCAAACGAGAACTTAAAAGTTAACAGAGGTGCATAGAGGCGATTTTTAGAATGTACGGAGCTCAAATTTAGAGTGTATGGCGGTGATTTTTAGAATGTATGGGGGGAGATTTTTAGAATGTATAGAAGGGATTTTTCGAATGTGAAGAGGAAATTTTAGTATGTATAGCTGTAGGCTCCGTGTAGGTACAGAATTTAGCATTTATTGTTCTAAAAGTGTCTTTGTGAAATGTTTATAAAAAAGATCATGTCCACCGAGGCTCTGGTCTGGGTAGTCCATGGTAGTTAGCAACAATGCCGGGCACCCAGGCTACCTAAGCTCCACGACTCAAGAACTCAGTACATACGAACAGTGCCGAGACTGCCGACTTATAACTTCGGCAAAAGCCAGCATGTGCCGGCTTGTTACCTTCGCCAAGAAGGTTATGTTTTCAGTAGCGTTTGTCTGTGTGTGGGTGTGTTTGTGTGTGTGTGTGTGGTTTAGCAAGATAACTCGAGAAGCAGTGGATGGATTGGAATGAAACTTGGTAGGTGGGTAGGTCTTAATGAGACCTAGAAATGATTAGATTTTGGGCCCCCTGGCGGCTTTCCTTGGTACTGCAGCAGAACTTCTGGTTTTGATATCTCCTGATCTGGACATGCTAGGGTCACGAATTTTGGGTGGTAGAAAGCTCTTGGGCTAGGGAAGAAGTGACGTGAGTTTGGGCCCCCTAGCCGTTTGTTCTGGAACTGCAGGAGCATTTGTTGAAAAAATTGAAGGACGATAACTCAAGAACCGGTCGACGTATTGTCGTGATTTTTGGTATGTAGGTAGCTGAAGGAATGCTTGACATAATCAGATGGCAATTATGCAAATCGGGAGCTAATTTGCATAATTAATGAGGAAATTCTATAAATCTGCTTTGTTCGATAATAGAACTATGAAGCACTTGTGACATCTACTTGAGAACGAGAAAAACATCTGAAGATATAGATTATGTAAATGAGAACCTAATTTGCATAATTAATGGCAAATTCTTATAATTCCATAGTTGTAACTGCTGCACCCCAAATTTCATACTTGCCACATTTGGAAGTTAAGTGAAGGTGAACATCAATAAACATAATTTATTCAAATCATCACCTCATTTGCATAATTTATGAGGAAGTGCTATAATAGCCTTTTTCTTATGATAAGGCTGTCATTGGATGGAGAATATGATCAACTGATATAATCCATGCAAATGAGGCTCTTATTTACAAAATCAATGATTAAAATTGTATAATTCGTCACCCGCAAGGGTTAACATCATTTGGCGAAGGTATGAGATTGTGAAACTCTTGTTGTATATGTTGGTATGTACTGCAATAAATTCACAACACCAGCTTTGTATTCCTGTGATTTAGTAGCATTTTTATTTTTGGCCGGATTTTTCTTTTATTCGCCCGCGCGCACTAGTTTGGGGGACTTCAGAGGATGTCATCCATAAAATTAAGGCGGTGTGGCCTTACATCCGTAAATTGTACTGGAATAACGGGAGGGGTCCAAAGTCCGGCATACTGTTCTATGTGTTGACGCACGTATTTTGTTACTGTACATGTCACCCTAAACCTATCAAAAAATAAGGCTAGATCTTGAAACAGCAATATATCTGTGATTTAAGCTGTACAGACGTATATTTCATTTCACGGTAGCGTTCCGCACTGCCGTTTGACAGCACACGAGAGTCACGGCAGGTTTTTGGTTTGCGTTCTCGTGGAACGTTCCAACACCAAAAGGGGGTCGAAACTCCGGCATACGTAACAACCAAGTCCGTGCTGTGACTATTTCAGCACTCCATGCAAACATAATAACACTATAAGTTTGCAACACTATTTTTTTGTCCCAAAAATGTGCCATATTTTCTATTACGCCACTTTTTCCAATGTTCGTAGATACAAGTCTCCCTCGGTGAAAGCTAAGTCACCCCGCCACTAAGAAACAAAATGGCGGCGTTGTTTTCAACTGCGTGCGCCCAAATATAGAGCCTCAAATATATCCGCTTTCGGTTGCCTTGATGGTCTTTTCAGCCTTATAATTATTTGGCAGAAGTAGTGACTATGGGATTTTTGAACAGGTAGGGTTTGATTTTCGGGAATAGTCGGCGCTCTACCGACGAGTTTACAAACTTCATTCTGTTGTATCGCCCGGCTGCCTGTTCGTAGCGGCTCAGTAAAGATGGCGGGCCGCTAGGTGTTCACAGTGTAAACATTTGCCCGTTATTTAAGCTTCGATTTTCCAAGGATAAAGACAATGTCAAGCCATGGTGTGTTTTCTATGAAAAGTATAATAATCACCTTTCATGTGTGGGGTAAAATTTTTGCACATGTCACACTTTAGGATGAATGATTTGACAGTTCTGAAGGCTGCTGGACACGTTCTCTCGTCAACCTCCGCGAAAAGCGTTAAATTCAAACAAATATTTCAATCGCTAGCAGTTTGAGCAATAAACTTCGACAAGCTTTCCGACTTTGTTATTTTTAACATAAAGTCTTGCTCCATAACTAATTGTTCTTATTAAGTGGATTCACCCAAGCATAACAGAATTATAATAATCTTTAAAACTATGCCGGACTTTGGACCCCTGCCGGACTTTGGACCCCTCCCGTTAACACTAAACATAAGTTAAGTCTACTGAGGAAGACCAGAGTGACCGGTCGAAAGCTATAGGTGAGAGAACTTTTTGTTTTGGATTTAAAGTTTTAACTCTAAACATGTAACTACCAACATGATACTAAACATAAGAGTTACGATACAATATCACGTTACGTACTTTGTCTCGTCCTGGAGGTTGTGGTACTCCAAGATGACGTCACCATCTTCATCCGTCATGAAAACCCCGGATCGAGCCGACCCCAGGTTGAGGAACGTGTCGCCCTGTTTCAGACACACCGACGCGTCCTGACACGTGTCCGATATGTTGCCGCCGACTCCTGTAGGATAAAGCTTGCTTCAGTATATTTATGTTTACGAAGGAAAGTATATTGTTTTTGCTCAGTTTCTTATTCTTCTTCTTCTCCAAACAGTGACCTCTGACCTGAACCAATGTTGTGTCTGTTGCCATGGTGACTAGTGCATGCCCGTAGCCAGGATTTTGAATGGGGGGGAGTGTTGGGTTACATCATGTTGCACTTTCATAGCAGGAGGGATTTAGTGTCTGACCATATATATGAATGTGTTTGAGTAAGAATTAACAGAGCAAACCATATGCGAAGGTTAACATTATGCATTTGCTTTGCAAAAAGTTACGCACGGGTTGCAGTATGTGGTACCATAGAGCATCATGGCTCACCTACACACGGGTTGTAGTACACAGTACCATCAAGTACCACGGCTCATCTACACACGGGTGGTAGTACACGGTACCATAGGTGCAACGACTCGCCTACACAAAGGTTACAGTACTTGGTACCACTGAGCATCATGGCTCACCTACATACGGACTACGCAACAGGTACCATCAGGTACCATGGCTCACCTACACACGGGTTGTATTACACGGTACCACCGGGTACCATGGTTCACCTACACACGGGTTGTGGTACACGGTACCATCGGGTACCATGGTTCACCTACACACGGGTTGTGGTACACGGTACCATCGGGTACCATGGTTCACCTACACACGGGTTGTGGTACACGGTACCATCGGGTACCATGATCACCTACACACGGGTTGTAGTAGACGGTACCATACCGGGTACCACGGCTCACCTACACAAGGGTTGTAGTACACGGTACCATCGAGTACCACGTCTCACCTACATACGTACTACACAACAGGTACCATCGGGTACCACGGCTTACCTACACACGGGTTATAGTACACGGTACCACCGGGTACCGCGATCTCCAGGGCTTTCTCGGGACGGTTGAAGGAGTGAAGGTTGAGATTTCCGGACCCATCGTCCATCTTACAGGTGCACCGATCAACCTAACGTGATGGGAACAAGACATAAACTCCGAAGCACAGGAATAAGTTAAAGCAATACATATAGTTCAGTAACTTAAAGGTAGAATAAATGGTGATAACATCCAGCTGCAACTGGGGTTTTCAAGGTTGCATTAAGATATTTCCGTTCATTTTCTGAATTGACCGCAAATTTTCGATTTTGGTCGTTGCATTCTGGTTTGACGAAAATTATGAATGGAACAGAACGCATGTTCCATTTGGGTCATTGTAACAGGACTATTGTAAGCAAATACTAGTAGCATCAAACATAAAAAAACCGTATATTTCCGTTCACGTTTTTTGCCTCATTGCTATTTTGTTCGTTGCATCTGGTTTGAAACAAGTTAATGATTATTCTTAACATCAACATAGAGTTAGTTGACCCCAGACCAGCTTGTCCCCAGCCGCGTCGCGACTGAGCTGTTTGCTCACCGCTGGAGGAGAGGCCAGGGTTCAAGGAGGGGTGAGGGGGCGGATGTTTGTCGGCAGGGCAGGCTGTTGTTCGGAACAGGTTACCCTCGTTTGGAGACACACACACTCATTCACATGAACGCGCGCGCGCGCGCGCACACACACACACACACACACGTGCGCGCACGCACACTCATTCACACGCACACACGCACGCACTCATACGCACGCACAGACCTTCTTACTCTACCTCTCTCTCTCTCTCACTCTCTCAAGCACGAGCGCGCCCACACACATGTGCGCGCACACACATGCACAAACACACACGCTGTCACACGCCCGCGCACACACACACACACACGCGCGCACACACACAGTCACATGTACACACACACTGCATGACACGAGATGCATACACGCACGCACGCACGCACACACAAAGATCATCGGATTGACTCACCTGTTTACACTGCGCATGCCTGGCACAGACTTCCGAAGAAGTCAGGGAAAAGACATACCTGTATGGAGAGGATAAACATTTTAAAGATTGGGTATCAGTGATTTTTTTTCCCTGTCATTGTTCCAATCTTTAGGATTCGATTCATTTTAATAAGTCATTTTAAAAAAAAAGTCCTCCATGTACATTCTGCTATCTCTCAGCATTTTGACTGATGAAAAAAAAACTTTCCTTCGAGCCGGATTCGAACCAGCGACCTAAGGATGACAGCACATGTCCACTACAGTCCTCCGCTCTACCAACTGAGCTATCGAAGGATTGCTGACACCCAGCATCTCATTCAAGGTCATACAAGAAAACTTGAAAAAAACGCTGTAAATAATGATCCTGATGTCCATTCTCCGATTATAATAGTTAACACAAGTATTGCGATGCCAGTCCAATAAAATAAGTCGTTTTTATTTTTTTAAAAATAACAATATGATAGACGAACTACAGCGTGGAAATGCAAATCAAAACCGAGCAGACAGAAGACAGTGAATGACAGCATTTTTGAATGTTTGTTTTTGTATTTCTATGCTTTATACTAGAAACATGAAGCCTTAAAATAACACATTAGCCTCTACCAGGCTTCGGTGATCGTTTGGAACATTCAGGTAAAAAAATCGCATTTACCTCCATGGTTGGAAAGAGAAGAAATTGACCAAATAGGTACGAGCGGAAAACTGTACTATGTTAATAGCGCGGGCCAACTTCCCTTGCATAGCATCAGTGTCTATTTGGCCAATTTGGCTACTCTTTCCAGTCGCTTCCCGAAGCCTGGTAGTGGCTAATAACACTTACCAGTGCAGGAGGCGTATATTTGCCTACCAAATGCTTAGGTCACATTTCCAAACCGGGGCCTCGTCGGGCTGTTTGTATGAACGAAAAATTAACCATTCATATCAAGAATATACAGGAATAGTGCCCATGATTACCATCGAAAACTTTTCTGTGTTTCCTTGTCTTTTATATCGTACTTTTCGTTCTATGAGACTGCCCGGCCGGGCCCCGGTTTGGAAATGTGACCTTAGCAAAACGGTGCATGAGTGTAGCCTGGGTGCCATTCACCGTTACGGTAGTATTCGCCCGCTCCCTAATGTCGCTAGCTTACCACTGCCATGACAGTCTAACAAAATAAGTCATTTTGAACATTAGGGAGCGGGCGAATACTACGGGGGATGGCACCCAGGCTACCTAGCCTCCTGTGCAGGCCCCGCGGCGGTGGGGAAGAGTTTTTAACAATGACAATGACAATGATGTTTATTGCATATTCATGCCCTTCCGGGCTAAATGCACTGGATGACATAACATATTGGATGATACTAGTTACTAGTACATAGGGAATTGTATAGGAAGAAAAACAAAACAAACAGCTACTGTAAATGTATACTATACATGTAATTCATCTAACTCTAAAGCTTACAATAGCTTACTAGTTTCTTCTCTTCTCTTGAGATATGCGTACACGAATTCACAGAGTTTCTCAATCACCAGGTGTTTAGACGATGTATGTGAACGTTTTTATGTATGTGAACAGTTCGTCGTTTGTTAACTTCGTAAATCTCTGGCCCAGTTTAATAGTTAACGCATTATTTTAATATAGCCGGCCAGCCACGTGGGCGGAATGGAACCTTCTCTCGGCGGCTATGTAGGATGGCCGGCTGTATTAAAATAATGCGTTAAAAACTCTTCCCCACCGCCGCGGGGCCTGCACAGGAGGCTATGAGTTACCTATCTTGCTGGTTAGGGTCGTGAATGATCCCGTGGTACAGGAATATCGGCCCCGTGGCCTGGTCGTCACACGTGGCGAACACCTCGCTTATTGTAACAGTGCTGAAACCCGTGTACTTACTGTAACTACAAGCGCAAGGAAATGAAGACAACGATGAAGCACATTTAGACAATACCAAACGGTGCGTGAGTTACCTATCTTGCTGGTTAGGGTCGTGAACGATCCCGTGCGACTGGAAGATCGGCTCCGTGGCCTGGTCGTCACACGTGGCGAACACCTCGCTATTACTGCCGTACCCCGTATACTGGGGGGGGGGGGGGGACAAAGAAATATGAAGGCAGCAATAAAGCACATAATAAAGCAGCATTTAAGAAGGATAATGAATACAAAAATTTACTTGATGTTCACGCGGTAGCAAAAGTTCACGGTCTGAGAAAAATGGACATGTTCACGGAACTATATATTCACGGTGGCGACAGGCGCAGGAAAAAGAAAGTCCAGGAATTATTTATTAACTGTAATGATAAGTTTTGACCTGCGATGGCATAGTTACTTCCGCATTCGTTGCGTTTTGCTGTGGTGTAATGCGTTGCACGGGAAATATCCCCAAATTGTACCTATACAGAGTTCTATATAGATGGTATTGTATGTGCATAAAAGAGCAGGCCTTATGCGAAGGTAAACATTTCTAGTTTTACTTTCTAATTTTACTGGGCTAACTCACCCTGAAGGCCACAGTAGTGGTGTTGATAACGGTTACAGAGTCCGGCTTCACGTACCCCAGGGCGACGGTGCGGTCAGCAGGGTCCTGCAAGTTCGCACACACGCTAACGTTGCTGCAACCGCTGCCCTGATGAGAACATACATAAACCGTAAGAGTATACTATGTACATATAGACCGGCTCCGCGCCGGAGGCGTTGCCAAAAGAAAACAACACAGGTGAGTCTCTAAGTCGGCGAATTTAGTATTTGTTTTGTAAAACACTGTCAAGATTTGGGCAGTAGTAACAGTGGACAAAAAAAGTAACTATCAAAATCAGATGAATTTATCTACGTAACATCAGTATCTTTCCACACTTGGTATGATTTGAGACGGTAAATTTACATTTCTTTTTCTCACAGACTAGGGACTTTTATGATATCCAGAACCGTGCCTGATCCTAACCCTAGCCCATTCAGGAATAGAACCAGAGATGCACGGTTCTGGATTCGATAGGTATTGCTATTGGCTCCGTGCATGGCAAAACATAGCCTCTACCAGGCTTCGGGAGGAGGCTGGAAAGAGTAGAAATCGGTCAAACAGAGAGATAACATACCGGGGGAGTTGGTCCGCTAGAGAGTACATTTTGCCGCACCCGAAGCCTGTCAGGGGTCGCTACAACTTACAAGTCCACTAATCGCTCTCTGATAGGTGCCAAGTAGAAAGTACTGTATCAGAGTCACGGGTGCGGCAAAATGTTGGTCTCTCTAGCGGACCAACTCCCCTGGCATGTTATCTCTCTATTTAACCGATTTCTACTCTTTCCAGCCGACTCCCGGAGCCTGGTAGAGGCCAGAAAAAACACACAGCTTTTTTGACCGCTGTATTTTATACCACCCACCTGGTCAAACCCAAAGCAGGGGTTGTACCAGAACGTTTCTTTCTCCCCGCCGGTCTTGAAGGCGTAACCGCCGTCCGCGTTAGCCAGGCTCCGCAGGCTTACCACCGTCCCGTTCTCCAGCTTACAGGAGCAGGCGTCCACCATCTGGCACAGCTGAGCGCCCGCGGGGGAGGCCGTTAGTGAGGCTAGGAGAAGACAGGCTAGTAAATGTAGTACTAGTGAGGCCGCCATTGTTGCATGAAACTGTATGTAACGTGTGCACCTTGTTGTAACGTATGTGTAGGTTAAGCTTGTGACACGTGGAGGGCAATGGCCTTATATTTGTACGGCAAACATGTGTCACCTTGGACCATGCCACTTCGTAAAATACTAGTATCTAGAGGGGAACTTTTGACAAAGGCTTGTGCATTTATATACTGATCGACCAGGATGCAAGCTACATGTAGTACTAGTATTAGTACTAGAAAGATCACCATGTCGTATCAAAAATGTGACAGGATGCACCTTGTTGTAACGTATGTGTAGTTTAAGCTTGTGACACGTGGAGGGCAATGGCCTTTTGTACGCGGGCAAACATGTGTCACCTTGGACGATGCCACTGTAAAATATCAGGAGGGGAACTTTTGACAAAGGCTTGTGCATTTATATACTGAGCGACCAGGATGCAGGCTAGTACTAGTATTAGTACTTCAGAGCCTGCCATGTCGTAAAAAATGTGAGAGGCTGCACCTTGTTGTAACGTATGTGTAGTTTAAGCTTGTGACACGTGGAGGGCAATGCATGGCCTTATATTTGTACGGCAAACATGTGTCACCTTGGACCATGCCACTTCGAAAAATACTAGTATCTAGAGGGGAACTTTTGACAAAGGCTTGTGCATTTATATACTGATCGACCAGGATGTAGGCTACATCATACATGTAGTACTAGTATTAGTACTAGAGAGACCGCCATGTCGTATAAAAAATGTGAGATTGCATTTTGTTGTAACGTATGTGTAGTTTAACCTTGTGACACGTGCGTGGAGGGCAATGGCCTTTTGTACGCAGGCAAACATGTGTCACCTAAGTCCTTGGACGATGCCACTTCGTGAAAACCGGAGGGGTGCATGCATATACTTTTAGCGATGAGGCGAGAATGTATTCCTACAATATGACAAAATATCCCCTTAATTTATTTATTGCATGGTTTGGATGTTCAGCACACACAGTCAGGGCAGCCCAGCTAGCCTGTGGCTATTACAAAGGCTTGCCCTGCTGACAAGACAAGTTATTGCACCCACTTGACTTTATTTCAAATTCAAAATTCCCGCATCTGTGACGTCACTTTAGAATCGATGGCGATTGGTCGATCTAGTGACGACTGGTTCGTTCCTGTGGCCACAGTGGTGGCGGGAAAACTCAACTCTGCCTGGGAGGCATTCAGTGAGCCAAGGCGCCACGCCCACTTTTGGGAGCATGACGCCATGTAGCCTCTACCAGACTAACTACTCTGGTTATATACCATGAGGAGAATATTTGCCAGGGGAGTTTGGCCGCATTGTAGGTTTAACTGGGCCCCCGGGGAAAGAAACAACCTTCCGCGGCCGGACTCCCCTGGTCAATTTTACTCTCCTTTTTGCCGAATTCTACGATCCGTATTCCCGTAGAAAGGCCTGGTGGAGGCTAGCGTCTATGAATGCACGAGTGAGTGTTTGGTTCGCTGCAGAAGTAAACAAACAAAGGGCACCAGGGACAGGTAGTGTGTACACAGCGGGGGCGTGGCGAAGTGGCCAGTTCCTTGAGCCGCCACATACCTGAGAGGTCAGGTGTTTATGGCTAGGGCTAGGGCTTGGGTTAGGGTTAGGGTTAGGGCTAGGGCTAGGGTAAGGGTTAGGGTTAGGGTTAGGGTTAGGGCTAGGGCTAGGGTAAGGGTTAGGGTTAGGGTTAGGGTTAGGGTTAGGGTTAGGGTTAGGGCTAGGGCTAGGGTAGGGGTTAGGGCTAGGGTTAGGGTTTGGGTTAGGGCTAGGGTAAGGGTTAGGGTTAGGGCTAGGGCTAGGGCTAGGGCTAGGGCTAGGGTAAGGGTTAGGGTTAGGGTTAGGGTAAGGGTTAGGGTTAGGGTTAGGGTTAGGGTTAGGGCTAGGGCTAAGGTAAGGGTTAGAGTTTAGGGCTAGGGCTAGGGTAGGGGTTAGGGCTAGGGCTAGGGTTAGGGTTAGGGTTAGGGTTAGGGCTAGGGTTAGGGTTAGGGTTAGGGTTGGTATTAGAGTTAGGGTGTAGGGTTAGGGTTAGAGTTGGGATCATCGTTCAGTGCTAGGGTTAAACTTACGATTAAGGTTAGGTTAGGCTTAGTCCCCCACATCACGACTAAACCCCTCCCATCCCTAGTCCCAGGTATATTGAAAACCCCCAAGTAGTGTCGGAGTCATGTATTTGGCAGGATCATGTATATGGCTTGCGGTGCGTGTACAGAGAGCACGCCAACGCTAGCCCTCGAGGTATCGTACGATCTGAACGTACTACACGTACTTGTCGTACGTCGAAACATGCGGGCCGATTTACACGCGGTTGACATAAAACGAATCGACGTACAATGTATACAGTTTTCGTACGCTACAAAATGTACGTTTGCCCCCATGTAAGGCTTGCCCGCGTGTAAAGCGAATCATAGTGGTGTATTTGTTAGACATCTAAATTTTGTCTCCTGGTTGAAATCCAGGTATACCTGTTTGGCTTCTACAACCACGATATGTGCTACTATCTGGCCAATAATTAGTTATCTCCAAGCAGATCTTTCGATGGCTGCAACGACAGTTACTGAATCAAACTGGCCATAGTTACCATTTTCCTTTTGGACTGGCGTAAAAAGAAGATGCCAGCACAAAAAAGAACGTCAGATAAAAACGCTTTTAAAAAACACGTCAAAAATCGGTCGAGAACTAAACGTCTACTTGGAGATAATTAGGGGTTACGGCCTTTAGGAGTGGAGTGGGCGTACCGCACCTGCTTACCTCAGTATCTACCTCCCACATATCACATGTTTTGTATACAGCTGCTCACTGTACCCTTCATAAGTCTAGTTTAGCGTAATGTAGAACGTACGTGTAGAGTTGAAATAGTTTCTAGTCGAGTGGGCGTACCGCACCTGCTTACCTCTGTATCTACCTCCCACATATCACATGCATGTACTCTCATATTTATCACTGCGCCATTGTTCTATAGTGTGAAGTCAGTAGGGCCTAGCCTCCACCAGGCCTTTCTACGGGAATACGGATCGTAGAATTCGGCAAAAAAAGGAGAGTAAAATTGGCCAGGGAAGTCAGGCCTCGGTAGGTTGCAACGTTGGTTCTTTCCCTCTGAACTGCGCGGACAGTCAAACCCCAAGGAGGCCAAACTCCCCTGGCAAATATTCTCTTATATATAGCCAGCGTAGTTAGTCTGGTAGACACTAAGCAGATAGAGCCAGGCAAGGTGTGGTGAAAGCCAAACGACCTTCCCGCAGGTGAGGTACATAAAGTTAAACTAGACGGCAACATTGTTGGGCCAAATAAAGTCAGACTCGTGGATAACACTAGCTGCGAGCGTGCGAAACAAATTAATTCAGTAGTCCCCAAGCAGATCTTTCGGTGGCTGCAAAGAATAAATACTAGTAGTGGAAACTTCTTTGGCCAATTATATCCACTTTCTAGGCCGATTTCTGCTCTTAGTATTTATTTAGCCCGCAAAGTAGCCTGGTGTGTGTGTGTGTGTGTGTGTGTGTGTGTGTGTGTGTGTGTGCGCGCGTGCGTGCGTGCGTGCGTGTGTGTGCAGCGTTGGTTGGTTGGTTGGTTGGTTGGTTGGTTGGTTGGTTGGTTGGTTGGTTGGTTTGGTTGGTTGGTTGGTTGGTTGGTTGGTTGGTTGGTTGGTTGGT